AATCTTGTTGAAACACACTCAGCCCATAATTCAAACACTTCATTTATGTTCATATTTATCCATTGCCAACAATAAACATAATGAAAAGAAAATGTATTTCAGGAATTCGGAGATAGTTTAGTTCAAGTGAAATATAAATAACTCATAACTAAATGAAAATTAAGTTTCAGGCAATGTTGACTTGTACATCTCAACAGCTTCCAAACCCCCCCCCCCCCCAGTGTGAAAGGACTAACTGCAGTGGAAAATCTTCTCAGATATAAAAGTGCAAGATACTTCATTATATGTATCATTAGACATGCCCAATCTCTGATGTGCCATAGAGTTGGGGAAGTTTTGCAATACGATGATAATTCAGTATCAGCCTCTCAGCAGCTTTTGCAAGCTGGACTGCTTGACCAAGTTTAAAACCTGACCTCTGCTAATGCTTCTGCCTCAAGGAATGACAGTGCAAAACCCACTGCTGTTCTTGAGGGTATCAGATCCTACACAGCAGTGGCTTATCTGATACATGGTGTTGTGTGTTACCTTACATCTTTTTCCAGCTACACCATCTTCTACCTAGTTTCCACCTGATCTTCTGTGGTGCTGCACCAGTGATAAACAGTCCTTCTTGCCCTCCTCAAAGGAAATTATGCCTTGGTACTTGGCCAAATTCATCTCTTACAAGAAGTATAGTACATACTTCTTTGAAATCATCCCCATTACTGGAAACCAGCTCGCTTTTACAGCACAGTAGCAAGTCCAACTCTCAGGTGGCTCCTGCAAATCACCTGATTACAAAGAAAACTGTAAATACTGGCAGAAATTAATTTTACTCTCCTAAATGCTTCTCCTGAGCACTTTGCCTCCCTGGACACAGCAGTGAGGACTCCGTGTGCAGTTTGCACCCCCCTGTGGTACTGCCAGTGAAATGATGCATGAAATTTAATCCTGTAATTTGAATGCAGAGTAAACTCTGCTTAGATTCGCTCATGTACGACCAACAGGCTTCAGTGCCCAAGCTGCTATATGCATAACTGCTTTGCAAATACAACACTTCCCACTGGCCAACAATAGGGTTACACATAAGTCTTTAGGCTAATGAGCAGAAGGAATGTATAATCAGAGGTATAGAATAAGCAGCTACAGCATCTGGGCTGTGACCTTATGGGCCTTCAAGCTAAAAAGGGTCAAGCCCTCACCCTTTCCGAGTCCCAGAGCACGCTAAGTAAGGATGTTATCTGATCAATATTTTAGTGGATATAAAAGGCACTTCACTCATGTAACCCAAAAAAGTGTTGGTATTATTAACAGTTATGTTTTTCACTTGCATACAGCAGTGTGCTTTATAGAACAAGAACAGAAATTACTTACATGTTCTGATTTTAACAGAATATAATAATTTCTTTTTTTTCACATGGTGTCCTAATCGGACAGGAGCCTTTTTTAGGATAGTACACATGTTCTGCATTATTTTGTATTTTTCAAACCCGTTAATGTGCTCCTGTAATCATGGAATGCTTTTTTGGGACTTATAGTTAGGAACAAACCATCCAGTGGGATGAGTGGTAAGCATGTTGTGAAGAGTGGCTGCCCCAAAGGAGAAAAATTACAGACTTGTTTTCAAAGCTGTTAATTTACTCAAGAGAAGTGGTTGTTCAGTATGTTGCAAATGTCTCTGGAATAGCAAAGTTGAGATTCTTAAAAATACTTTTCTCATAGGTCTGCATACACATTACTCAGAAGCATCTCCACGCTGAATAAAAAAGTAGACTGCAATTAAGTTAAAAGTTGACATTTCTTAGATGAGTTTGCTAGAATTTGATGTTATGAAAAATTCCTTTCTGAACTTCCTACCCTGTTCTGAAAATGAGATAATGTGATTCCTGACCAGTTAGTGAGCTAATGTGGGGTTTGTTCATTCGTTTATTATTGCATGCATTAAGTAAGGCAGAAGATCAACTTAAAAGACAATGGTGAGTTGTAATACACACAGATGCCAAAGGATGCTCTACCATTGCCTGTTCAGTCTGATTACTCAAAAATATGGTAGTGGGGTCTCCCCACATAGCTTAACTTCAGTACTGTAGCACAGCTAAACAGGACAGTCTCCTTTTCCCTAAAATTGACATCCCAGTAGAGAGTATGGAGGATATGTTCAGATGGAACCATCACTCAAGAATACTTTCAGTTTCTAAGTGCAGGAGGAGCTACACAAGTTGTTACTATAAAAAATAAGAATGGGCTATTATGGCCTCTTTTGAGAAAAGGAAATCCTGCTGGTTAAAAAATGTAGTGTACTTGCAAAGACAAATCTGAGAGCTGAGAGATCTTTCTTCAAAGCCTCAATAATTGCTCTCGTGCTTTGTGCATCCATATTCCAAGCTGCTACATAAATACTAACTTAATGCCATAGCATCCTCACAACATCATGTCTGGGCTCTTTCTAATTTTCATATTATAGACTAGAAATGAAGTCGGTGAAGAAATTAAAAGGTAAAATCTGTCTCCATGGGTGTGATCTGAAGATATTGAGGGTTGCTGAGCAGGCAGTAGAAGATACAGGCCTAGAAGAGGTTGTTCAGAGCTGGGATTAAAGGGAACACTTTCTCTTTCATGGCAAAAATCTGGAGCTAAGGATAGGCCACAAGAAACCTAATCCCTTACTAAGCACATCAGGGGACTTGCTAGCCCTACCTGGTAGAGCGAAGTGCCCTCTGTGCCCTGCAGCAAGCTGTGCACTTCCAGCTTCCATTGGGAAGACACCTATATGTGACCATGCTGCTTTTTTGAGAGCTTACAGAGAGTTTTATCTTATATAAACTGGCAGCAAAATATTCCCGGCACTAGAACAAATTATGAAGGCAATCAGAGCTGGGATCAGACATCTCATGTTTCTGTTTTTCTACACTTAGCTCTTGCTCTCTCCACATCACAATTCAGCAAACGAGAATTCATTTAATTGGTTTGATGTATTCACTCCCTCCCCCTCTCCCCTTTTGAACTTCAGCATGAAGTACTGTAGAAGGAGAAAAGAGGATTGGGATAGAAGCAAAGGAGGTCAGGAGGAACAACCTTTAATAAGAGATCCCCTCTAATTTAGTGGGTTATTTAACTATATGTTATTAGGAGCTTTACACATAGCAAAGAGTACATCATGTTGTTACACTCAGGTATGCAGGTTTTGAGTTTTAAAATGGGTAAAATACCCCCAATGTAGTGATAATGATTCACTTGTCCACCTCATGAGACAGTAAAAAGGTTCATACAGCAACAATAAATTTTAAGTTTTAGCAGATCTCAGTCACAGTATAAATTTCTTCTGTAAGTAGAGGTACATTTTAAACCCCTCAAAAACAAACAAACAAAAGGGCTATAAGAAAAGCCTAAGATAATAGCTGTTTTAGTATAAAAAAGTCTGGAATCTAGATGGGCTGAATGAAGGCTGTCTCTGCCTAACAAAGCATACACCTCTCTAGGCTGAGAATTGGATACCCCTAAAAATTAACATCATACCTAGACCAGCACCAGGTTACACACTTAAAAGGCTGTCACAATAGGTCCCACATGAAGTCACAAATCAAACCCATCATTTCCTAGACAGGTTCCCTGGAGAAACCACAAGTCTCTCTACTCAGAATCATAGAATGGTTTGGGTTGGAAGGGGCTTTACATATCATCTAGTTCCAACCTGCCACTGGACTAGGCTGCTCAAAGCCCCATCCATCCTAGCCTTGAACATTTCCAGGGGTGGGGTATCCACAACTTCTCTGAGCAACCTGCCTCACCACCCACAGAGTAAGAAATTTCTTCCTTACAGATAATCTAGATCTCCCCTCTTTCAGTTTAAATCCATTCCCCTTTGTCCTGTCACTACAAGCCGTTGTGAAAAGTCCCTTGTAAAAAGCTTTCTTGTAGGCCCCCTTTAGGCACTGGAAGCTGCTGTAAGATCTCCTCTGAGCCTTCTCTTTTCCAGGCTGAACAACCCCAAGTCTCTCAGCCTGTCTCCAGAGATGCTCCAGTTCTCTGAGCATCTTCATGGCCCCCCTCTGGACTCGCTCTAGAAAATGCAGGGAAACGGCCCCTTGCCCTCCATCGCGCCCTGTCAGCCCGTGTATAGCACCGTATCCTAAATCCTCAACATGGTGTTGAAGTGTTACTGTTCTGACGTCTCCGTTTCCCACTTCACTCTAAACAGGGAAGCTAGAAATGGCTGTAGTCTAATCCCTGCACTGCATCAGTGCTTGTTTACGTTCCTGGAAGCACTCCTTTCTGGGGGGGGGGGGGGGGGGGGGGGGAGGGGAATTACTGGGAAGCCTGGAGATGGATACAGTCTATAAGACGGGATCGGGCGTTCGTTTGCTGAAGCTGCCTTGGCAAAGTGTGACCGAAAGCCGCCCGGTGTGCCCCGATACCCAAAGGGGCTGCCCTGAGCAATCCCTCCCTGGCTGTGCCCGGGAGCGCGGGGGGGCCCGCGGCGGCTGCCAGGGCGGTAGCACAGCTCCCGCCGACCGGCACGGGGTCCCGCGGGCCTGGGTCTTTCCCAGAGCCGGGTTTACAGGACCCCTTTCATCAGCAGCTCGGTGACGGCCGATCTTCCCCGTGTCCTGGCGGGGGAGCCAAACACTATGGATTTGCAGCCCGGAAGGTTGTTTTTTTTTTTTTTCCTGGGTTGCTGCCGCCGCTACTGGGTTTATTGTTGGGGCGCACTGGGAGGTTCATTCGCGAGCTGGTGGCCCAGCCGCGGGCCACGGCTGTGCTCGCACATCCCTCCAAATGCATTCCCACTAAAGACCGGCTGTTCTTTGGAGGACCGCTTCAGCGTTCCGCACACGCACCGCTTCTCCCCCCAACAAATTCACGGCGATGGTGAGCGGCGTCCCCCTCTCCTACCCTCCTTTTCCCGTGAGATGCTCTTCCACGCCACGCGGGGCGGGTACTCGCCGGTGCTACCCGGAGGCCCCTTGTCCCGAGCCGCTCCCCACGCACCACGTCTGTCTGTCTGTCTCCCCGTGCAGAGCTCCGGCAACGCGTCCTACCGATGCTCCATGTCGTCCTCCGCCGATTTCTCCGACGAGGAGGACTACAGCCAAAGGTCGGGGACGGTGTCGCCAGCGCCAGGAGACACGCTGCCTTGGAACCTGCCCAAACATGAGCGGTCCAAGCGGAAGATCCAGGGCGGCTCCGTGCTGGACCCCGCCGAGCGGGCCGTGCTGCGCATCGCTGGTAAGGCGCGGCCGGGGCTGGTGGGGTGGCGGGAAAGCAGAGTGACCCCCAGTCCCTATCCTGGCTGACCGCGGCCCCTCCGAGCGGTGACTAAGCTCTTCCCTGGGCCGCTTTTTCCGGCGGGGGGAACTGGTGCGTGTGGGAGAGTGCAGGTGCTCCAGTTGAACTTCAGGGCGAAAACGCATCGGCGGCGCGGGGATGCCGCGGCGGCCTTGGCGTCTCGTCCGCTGCCGGCACTTCGGCTGGGATAACCGAGGGAGCTCCCCGCGGCCCCGGCCGGCCCCCTGGCGCCTGGCCGGACCGCCAGCAGTGCGGAGAGCGGTCGCTGCCGCCCCCAGGGGCCAGGCGCTGGTCTTTGTCCGTGCGGAGCCGTGGCAGCGCTCGGGTGGGGAGAGGAGCACGGGCACCGGGACGGAGCCACCCGGCGTGTCGGGACAGCGGCATGGCGACAAATGATGTCGAAAATAGGGCGGAGGTCTGCTTTTCCCCGGCGAGAGCTGGAAACCGCCTGTTAATGAATCTCAGGAAGACGCGGCGGTCCTCCGTGCTCCCGGGCACCGCTACTCCTCCCTTTTCCCCTCTTTTGTGTGTGCCTCCGTGGGTCCCTTCACGGGACTCTGATTCCCAGCGTAGCGCATCGTAAGGGCGCTACTAGGGGCAATGGGGGACCCGGTTGCGGAGGGCGCTCTGCGCAGCCGAGTTCTCGCCAGCCGCAGAACGCAGTCGCAGGACGGAGGATGCGGAGCCGGCTCGGCCCAGCACGGCCACCACGGAGCTCGCCGCCGCCCTTCAGAGGCAGAGCGAAGGCGGGGGACCAGGCCAGGGCTGGAGGGACCGCTCGGGGCGGGCCCGGCGGCGGGGTCAGGGCCGGGAGGCGGCGGTGGGGCGCAGGCGCGATGGGTGATGCGGCCGGGGGCTGGTGCGCGGCGGTGGCACCTGCGGCAGGGCCGGGACCCGCACCCGGGATGCCCCGGTCGCACACCCGCCCCGCCGCAGGGATAGTGGCCGCTCCCGCACCGGGCAGTGCTGGGACTGCCCACAGGGTCCCTCCCCACAGGGTCCCTGCCTGCAACCCCTCCGTGACGAAGGGCTCCGGTGCCCCCCCCTCCGGCCCCGTCTGTGCCGCGGTAGTGGCGTCCTCGCCCCCGCGGCCGCCACCCTTCTTATCGCGTGGGAGGCCGGGGCAGAAACACGGGGCTGGGCGGTGCCTCGGAGGCAGAGCTCGGCGGCCCCGCAGGCGGTGCATCGGCGATGGGGCCGGGGCCGGTCCGCTGCAGCGGGGAGGCGGTGGCCGCCGCCGGGCTGGGGCCGCCCCCCTGCGCGCTCCGAGGGGCGGCTACCGAAACCCGAGCGTCTGGCGGGGGCGTTTCCGCGGCCGGGCTGGCAGTGCCCTCCCACCGCCCGCCTCCCGCCTACCGCTAGCCCTGAGTGTTCGCTTGTGCTGTCCCCCAGGCTCCGGCTTGTCCGGAGCCGCGTTGGGAAACGGGTAGGGTGAGCCCCTGGCCATGGCTGGCTATCTCTCACCCGGCGCGTATTTCTACGCCGAGGAGCAGGAGTACCTGCAAGCCTACGAAGATGTCTTGGAGAGATACAAAGGTAGGGCAGCCCTCCCCACAGCGGGGCCGCCGCACCCGGCCAGGCTGCCGGTCGCCCCGCAGGCTGCAACGCGGAGGGGGCAGGTGCGGTGTCCCCGCCGTGAGGGGACGGGGATGGGGATGGCCCCACGTCCCGGCGGGGGGGAACGGACGGCAGCGGGCGGTGGCTTATGCCATAAACGAAAACACCGTCCCTGCGGCTCCGGAGGGCGAGACGTGCAGTCCTGTGCTTAGAAGTCTTTTTATCCCCAGTGAAATGCGGACACGGTGATATAAGTCTCGGTGTGCATTTGCGTTTAAAGCCTCCCCGTATTTTGACCTTTTTATTTTGGTTTTTCTTTGTGGGCGGGCAGAGCATGAGCATAGATCGTGTGGCTTTTCGTCAGAAAATGAGGAAAAAGGCGTTTGTCACAGCAAAGATGCATACAGCTAAATTTATCTTGCTGGAAATGTAAATGACATGGCTAGAAATGTACCAAGAGATGGTTCGGGAGATGTGATTCGTTACTGTTCGCAGTACATTTGCTAATATTAAATTTGAAAATGCTCATCAGAAGTGTTGTGGGTCTGATTTTAATTCAAGTGTGAAAGGGATGGAGTTAACTATTCCGTTGGAGTCTTCATCCCAGAAATAGTTTTTACAGCATGTCACAGCATATGCTGATATTTGCAGTGCCGAGCCCTTTTGTAATGTTTGGGAAAGGGGTTAGATTTTTATATCTGGAATTTTTCAGCTGTTTGTTTCCAGTCAGTTCTAAAGAATTTGGTTAAATGGTTTCCCCTGATGGGAATGGGAGTGGCATAGTTGAAGACAGCTTGATCTGAAGGTACCAATAGCTGATTGTATTTAATCCAGGTTGTTAGTGGTACTATTTTGAAAATTAAACCTTCTACAGATGGTTATTTTAACACGAGAACTTGTTAGGTCCAAGTCTCTACCTATGTCACTTGTGATTTCATGTGTCATTAATAGTGTTGACTAATGACTCCTTTGTGTCTGCTGCCCATTGTGTCAATGCAGCTATGGAGCATGTGCACTATTTTTGGACTGAAATGCATTAGTTCATTTCAGTTGAGAAATAATTATGGTTTGTAATAGATCTGTTTCAGAAGCACATCTTTATTCCATTCTCTCCTGTTAAGTCATCAATTTATATGTAGCTGAACTGATTTTTGCAGAATTTTGAAGCAAGTAGACTGTTTGCTTTGTAAATAAAACACTGAGAAAACTTGTTTTTCTGTTCTGGTTCTAATCTAGAACTATTCTGCTTTATATTACCTTTGATTTGCTGCTGGAGTCGGCTTTAATGAGGTTCACTCTCATACCAGTTTGTCGACTAGCTTAAAAACCTGGGAAAGAGATTAGGCCTAATTTCCCCTATTTCAGTGAGAGTTTTATTAGGAGAAGGACTGAAAGATTTGGGTTAAATATTGGGAGGCAAAGCAATTTTAATTAAAATAAGCTCTTAAACCCAATTCACATCTCTGTTAGAAATAAAACACATTCTGGAAATGTATGAGTATATGATATTGCGGTGGTAACATTGGTCCATTCACATGCTGTTTTCAGTGACAGCCAAATCCTGAAATGATTTGGAAGGATCCAGTTTCTGTTGTCATAGGTCTTAGTGTCATCTTTAGTATGCATTGCTTTGCTGCTCGATGTATACCATATTCAGACATTGGGAGCAAAGGTAAAGATTTGGAGTTGTTTTAATTAAGATATATTGGAAACCTGGAAAACACATTTTTAAAAATGTGTTTCCAAGACGGTCATGATTTCCCATCCCAGTCCCAGTAGAATGACTTCACTACAGCAATTGTTGTTCTGATGACTTGCTATGGGAGCTGATCTAATCAGAAAAGAATTGCTACAATATAGGCTTTGAAGAGGGAGTGCCATTTCTCTGGATTTGCCTGTTTTGTAAACACTGCTTTAAATCAAATGCAAACCACACTGATTTTATACATTTTTAAGATAAGCTCCAATCCATAATTTTAATTCAATATCCCCCCCCTTCCCCTTTTTACAATTTGTAGAATGCTCTTGTATTCATTTAGGGCATTATGAGGGTGCCAAATTATCTATACCCCAGCTGTTAAGTACTGTAACTAGCAGAGTCAGCTGTACAGAATTCACTGCCTGTCTTGAAAGGCTGGGGGTCGTGTGATACCGCACCAGTAAGGCGTTTTGGCAGATTGATTTAAGAAGAGAAAAAAATCAGCCCTTTTGAAAGGTGGAAAAATGAAAACGTATTTCTTGCCCATTTCCGCAGCCAAAGTAGGCTGTGGATCTTGAAGACCCTGCAATTCCAAGTGCCTTGCCGCTTTAACAGCTGAAACCAGGGTATTTGTATGTCTCCAAATTCTGTCTGCTGACTGTGTCTGTGGCTGTGACAGTACGTAATTAGGCAACTGTTTGCTAAATCTGAGATGGCACAAAAGAGCTGTTTGCTATGGGAGGAGAGTGGTGTTTTCTGATTCCTGGTCAGCTCAGTTGCTGGCTGTCATGGTGTTTTTTCTTGATTCATACAGTAATTTGTTGGCAGTACTTCTAAAGCAGTTTGGTGGAGGAAGAAAAAGTCACGTTATCTCGGATGGTTGAGAAATTATGTTGAATCAAGCTACTTATTCACAGGGGAAGAAAATGGTTCTTTGTTCATAGCACCTTGAAGAATTCAAAGGCAAAGCCTTTATTGTGATAGTGGTGGTAAAATGTCTCCTATATTTTATCTGAAATGTTTGACGTGTTTCACATCTTGTTTGTGACTGAATAGGAAGATGAGAAACTGTGCAAGTGTTTGTTAATAAGGTTAACAGTTCAAAAAATTCTACTTGATTTCTCTAGGAGGTTAGAAAGATCTATAAACATTAGTCTTGCTACTTTGTTACTTATCTCACCAATGCCCAAGGACAAAAAATGAATACAGTTGTTGTTAGCAGCAGTCTTCTTGATAAGTAAGGAAATGTCCAGTGGTATTTAATACACATTTAATTTTTGACATATTAATTTCCACCTCTCAGGTGGCATAAGTATGCATTGTTCCATACAGATGTTATTTGAGTATTAAACATTTGAAGCTCACAGTTTTCAGCATTAGCTACAGTGCATTCATAATGTTTACTCAGGTATAAATCTGAAGTAATGCACCAAGATTCATGAGTTGCATATATGAGCCTTCTGAAATTTTATGGCTCATTCTGGGTAAAACCCATTTGTATTTTCAGTTCAGGTGAGAAACCTTTATATAATATCAATTGCAACAACCTTTTTTTCCTGCAAGATTTTGAGCAATTACATAATAAAGCTGCCTCCCTTTGGCATCATTATTGCAATGGACATGTCTGCTAATAGCTGCAGGATGGCTGTTTCTGGAAAAGAGCTAATTCTCAGAGTTAAGTATT